CTATTTGTATGATATCTTCCCCCAAAGTCAATCAATAATCATGATCAGCATCCAATCACTTAATACCATGTAGTATACTCCCAGGCACATGAACCCAGTTCCAGTCAGCAGATCAAGGTTCCAGTAGTTATCTAAGGACACACTGATGAAACATTCCTGTAAATTCAGGTTTGCGCAACCATTGCTTTAATCACAGAGAAATAACTGCACTGATCCAACAGTTTCATTCAACTAGGATTTAGTTTATCACATTGATATATATAATATATTATGTATATATTGTCTCATAGGTACAAATGCAAGAGAAATATATGTTTATATGATGCTGTGTGCAGAGGTGGGAAAAGTACTCAGATCTTCTACTTGAGTAAAAGTAGAATTACCAGAGTGTAGGAATACTCTGTTACAGTAAAAGTCCTGCATGCAAAATGTTACTCAAGTAAAAGTAGAAAAAGTATTAGCTTCAAAATATAATGAAGGTACTAAAAGCAAAAGTAGTCATTGTGCAGATTGGTCCATTTCAGAATAATATATATGATATGTTTTATAATGATTGATCATCAAAGTGTTCTCAAAGCTGGTAAAGGTGCAGCTAGTTTGAAGGACTTTGTATACTGCAGGGTAGCTTGTGAATTTACTCCAGGTGGAACTAAAGTCTGATTTAACACTTGATTATATTTCACATCATTCATCCAAATCTGTAAAATAACTAAAGGTATTAAATAAATGTGGAGGAGTAAGGCAAGGCAAGTTTATTTATATAGCACCTTTCAACACAAGGCAATTCAACGTGCTTTAAAAAAATGAAAGACATTAAATGTGCCAATGTGAAATGCCACTATGAGACAAAACACAAAGTGTTTGACCAAACATTCCCTCTCAAGTCAGAACTGAGGTCAAATAAACAGTCTCAGAGCCCAATATGATCAGTCCACCAGGATCAAAATAATAAAACTAAATATCGTTCCAGGCTAACCAATGAGCACCTGCATGTGTGTATGAGAATGGCCCTGACACCATTTCAGCCCAGATTTAAAATCCTGGCAGGACAAGCTCGAGCTCATTTCTCGCACTGAACAAAAAAAAAGTGAGTGAGGGACTTCAATATAAGAGCGACAGAAAGAGAAACTTCAAAACTGTTCAATTGTTATGATGTGTAAAGACTGATATTGTTCTATAATCGGCTGAAACTGTTAAGTCATGATGTGAAACGGTTAACAAAGAAAAAAGGAAACTCAAGCTGCTGCTACACTTTATTTTATTTATCTAAAATCAAGCACTTTTAAGATGCACACATTTTCAAAAGCTATTTTATTTATTTTCTCTATTTTATTTTTAAATGCAGAGGAACATTACACATATCCACAGTACTTTACTTTATATCTGTATAGTTCAATGTTAATTGATAATAAATATTGTTGTTTATGAATTGTACTTTCTTTATTTGATTGGCAGTCAGCTGTTGATTACATGCAGACGTTGATAAAGCTACAGGCTACTTCAATATATATCACACTAATTCATAAAGCAAGATAGACATTTTGATGCTCCGGACCTTTGCATGGGGAGATTTTCTCTAACTGGACCTCGTTGAATTTTTGTTGAATACCCCTGGTATAATATGTAAGCAAGTAGGGCTCTAAACATTCTCAAAATGAAATCAATGTCATTAGGAGATTATTTTAGAAAGAAGTGATTTTTGGTTTTCTTTTGCATTGTGAACTTCTCCAGTTCTTCACTTAATCCAGACGAGAGCCGTACACCTCCACCTCACACAGACTCAGGAACTCCTCCAGTCCTGGGATGACTATGTTGACCCCTTACAATCAAACGCACCGGCACCACCTGCAGGGATACTTGTGATCACAGCACACCTGGCAGAAGAAGCAGAAATGACTTTGTTGAGTTCAATTAAGGTTGGTTTTGTTGCTTTAACAAAGTGCACTGTCGGCCACATTGGGGCAGCAGAACAAACATTGCAAATACAGGACTTTGAAATGATCACCTCACAAGGTTGTTATGGCAAACATGCAAGCAAACATTTGTCTTTTTCATCATCCTTTGGCCACCTGATGAACTCTGTACTGGTCTCCGCGTGATGGAAATATCTTGCTCTCAGCTGCTCCAACGCTCCACTGTGTTCACTGGCTAGTTATTAAGTGTGTGTGTCTGTACTTTGGTGGTGAGCACCTAGCGTACAGTCTGGGATATCTGAGGTTTTTCTTTGTTAAGCAGCCAAAAGCAACACTATGATAGCAATAATATTAAACCAACAATTGAAGTCCCACATAAACCAAAAGCAATATACCAAAAGAAGCGTAAAAAGCTGAATGAAACAGTATATGTAGATATACTCTCAACACAAATACAGCTGAGACTGATGAAAATGGCATTTGTGAGGACTCAGCGCATCAAACTATGACCCTACACTACAGTTGCATTAAACCCTGGTGTGTAAGATTAAACAGTAAAAATTCAATGACAACAACATGTTGAGTTTCACATGGGACCAGGGGCGGACTGGGACTGAAAATCACCCCTGGACTCTAACCCAGCCCAGCCCACTAGTGATGGGAATTCCGGCTCTTCTTGGTGAGCCGGATCATTTGGCTCGGCTCACCAAGAAGAGCCGGCTCTTTCGGCTCCCAAACGGCTCTTCAGTTTACCACATATTATACCTTTTATAATTCAATCAAATGTAGCCCTGTTTTGACTAATGATTTATATGTGTACACATATCACTTAAATTATTCAATATATCCTTTGTACTGAAGTATTCAAAAGTAAAAATTACATGTTTAATATCAATTATTTGCTTTGGCCAATTGTTTTCATTGCATTTACAGACCCTTGTATCTCTCTGATACCACCCAATGAATGCACAGACTTGCTTGTAGAACCACGTTACACAAAGCAGATAGCAACACCTATAAAAACTTAAGCATAGACATTTAAAAAAAGGGGCTACTGTATCGACATTTTAAAATTATATTTAAGGGAAGGCCCTGACAAAACAGCAGGGCTCTATTTCAGTATTAACTATAGAAAAAAAGACAGCAACAGCTGACATTAAATCTTTGCTGAGCCCAAGGATAATCATAAATAAATAACATAGTGAAAATAAATATATTGCAATGCTCAGTACAGCAGCATCCAACCGTCTCTAATCATAAAAAAACATAATACAAATAAATGTATTGCAATGCTCAAAACAGCAGCATCCAACAGTCTCTAATCCTTGGATATTACATGCCACTGCATGCATGTGCGAAGCAGCTGTAGCGCGGAGATCATCATATCATTCTGTCTTGTATTACTTAGCAAAAAAAAAAAAAAAAAAAAAAAAAAAAAAAAAACGGCTCGTTCGCGGGCGCGAGCCGGCTCCCGTCGTTCACTTAAAAGAGCCGGCTCTTCGAGCCGGCTCGTTCGCGACCGACACATCACTACAGCCCACACAAATTGGTAGAGCACGCTCGTGAACTGTCAACAGGAGGGCGGGGGGAGCCCCGCTGCGGCGAAACTGTGGACCTCTGTCGCGGTGCCGGCCGTCAGCGAACCGAGCCAGCCGTCAACGGCCCGCTGACGACCGGCCGTTTTGTGATTCTCCAGAACACACAGATGGCCAGTCCGCCCCTGCATGGGACACAAACCGCAGTCTCTTGGGTAAAACTCCGGTGTTGTTTTTTCCCCCCTTATTCTACGTCACCACCAGCACTTGCTCTGAGCGTCTAATTGGCGAAGTTACTTGAAAACCCAATGTGTCGAGGGTACCTCGAGCATTGGTAGAAGACATGACGAAGCCTTGGTACTTGGTATATACTGGGCTGGAGCAAATTTCACCAAAATACATCTGGGAGTAGTTAAGATATTTCAGTCTGAACAAAGCACTGACCGGCCACTAGAGTGACTGAAAACCAGAAGTACTTGTACTGTACTGTAGCATATTATTTTCGAATCAATCATTTTTCAAATTATGAATTTCAGTTAGTTTGTTTCTCATTTAAATGAACAATAAAGCTAAACAATGTTAAATGTTTGAACAGTTCACAGCCCTCTTTGGTCGTTCCCAACTCTACAGCACTTTACGGCTTTAATTACAGGTTGCTGTCCTGAGTTGTGTGTGTGTGTGTGTGTGTGTGTGTGTGTGTGTGTGTGTGTGTGTGTGTGTGTGTGTGTGTGTGTGTGTGTGTGTGTGTGTGTGTGTGTGTGTGTGTGTGTGTGTGTGTGTGTGTGTGTGTGTGTGTGTGTGTGTGTGTGTGTGTGTGTGTGTGTGTGTGTGTGTGTGTGTGTGTGTGTGTGTGTGTGTGTGTGTGTGTGTGTGTGTACACGTCAGCCTGTCAGTGTGTGTCTCCTCTCCCTCCTCAGGTCATGGGTTGCTTTTGTCGGGACCCCCCTTGAAAACTAGCTGGTGCATGATCTCAAGGGGTTTATCCTAATAAATACATTTCAAACATTTGACTTATCAATAAAAGTGAACTAAACTACCGTTTGTATCCAGTACTGGTGGTTCTTATGAGACATTTAGCACTGTAGTATTTAGTTACAGTGAAAAGGAAAAGAAAGACAAACAAAAAACACACCTACATTTTTTTGAATACGTATTTTAGGTTATACCTTTATCACTTCCCTTGTTTGGTTTATTTAATTGAAAGAAACGACATAAAACTATACTAAAGTATCTTTAAAATAAAATACTAATACAAAATAATAAATACAATAATAATAAATTAATATTAATTAAAAAAATGACAACAATTATAATAAAAAATAAATTAATAAACAAAATTAATACTTTTTTAAATTAATACTTAAAATAATAAACTAATAATAATGTAAAAATAATAATTATACAAATACAAAAGATACAATACAAATTACAATAAAGAAAACAAATATTTATTGTAGCTTTATTACATTTTTAGTTCTATAAAAATACAATAACATTTGATCTTTTGTATTAAAATGTGTCCTCGGTGGTTTCCGTGTGCGCGCATATTCGCCATCGCCATCATCGTGACGTCACTTATGTGTGCCGGATGTTCCTCTACAACGTGTTGAAGGAAAACTCACGTGTGTGTTTTTACCTTACACCGTACACTCAATAATTGGATCAAAAAGGAACATATTCAGCGGTGAGTATGAGGGAAACTGTAGTTGAGTACATTAGGGAACATTACTGCGCTCTGTGTTTATAACCGAGTTCTAAATGATGTTTTGCGAACACGAGGTGCGACGTTTAGTCCACTAACGCTAATGTGTGTCTAAACTGCTTTTTCTGTCATTAACATGTCACTGCTGAAGGGCAAGAGTATTTGAATGTGTTTAATATTATATTTAATGTAGCTGTGTCGCCTGCAATGTTATTTTTGATTCATATTAAATATTATAACTAGTGAAAATGTGCATCTTTGGCAGAGGAGGGAGAAGTACTCAGATCTTGTACTTGAGTAAAAGTAGAAGTACTCAGATCTTGTACTTGAGTAAAAGTAGAATTACTCAGATCTTGTACTTAAGTAAAAGTAGAAGTACCAGAGTGTAGGAATACTCTGTTAGAAGAAAAAGTCCTGCATTCAAAATGTTATTCAATTAAAAGTAGAAAAGTATTAGCATCAAAATATACTTAAAGTACCAAAAGTAAAAGTAGTCATTGTGCAGATTGGTCCATTTCAGAATAATATATATGATGTGTTTTATAATGATTGATCATTAAAGTGTTCTCAAAGCTGGTAAAGGTGCAGCTAGTTTGAATGACTTTGTATACTGCAGGGTAGCTTGTGGATTTACTCCAGGTGGAACTAAAGTCTGATTTAACACTTGATTATATTTCACATCATTCATCCAGATCTGTGAAGTAACTAAAGGTATTAAATACATGTAGTGGAGTAAAAGTACACGATTTACCTCTGAATTGTAGTGGAGTAGAAGTACAAAGTAGCATAACATGGAAATACTGAAGTGAAGTACAAGTACCTAATTTGTGCTTAAGTACAGTACTTGAGTGCATCTACTTAGTTACTTCCCCCCTCTGCATATGAAATACCATAGTTGGTTAAAACGTGTATCTTTGGTAAACTGAGTAACGCTAATATGCTCATATCAAAGTCGGCCTCATTGCAAAAAGAATGATGCTCTTGTATGAGCTCCATTATAATGTTGTCAACGTAGAGCCAATTATAACTATCTTCTTAATTGAAAACTATGTGTGTTAAACTGAGATTTAGATTTAAAGTCTTGACCTGGAAAGTCACATTTTTGTAGTTTCTAGTTAGATTAGCATGAAGGAAAATCCCCTAAACAATCCCCCCATGTATGTGTAGGAATATTTAACATCTATGAGCTTTGCAGCATAACGTTGTCAATGCGTACCACAGACAGATGCTTCTCTACATGTTCAATGACAGCACTGTAGGATTGGAATATGAAACATTACTTTCTTCTTAATTTCAGATCGTCAGTGTCATTTGGAGTCATGGGTCGTAAATTGGATCCCACCACCCACGTGAAGAAAGGGCCGGGGAGAAAATCCAGGAAGCAGAAAGGAGCGGAGATAGAGTTGGCCAATTTCATACCTGAGGGTGATTACCAGCCGATTTATAAAGATGGATAACGCTTACCTTCAACTGCTTTTATCTTAATGACTGCATCGCTATGTTTCTAAAAGTGTTTCATTTCTGTTTGCAGAGGAAGCAACAGCGAAACGTCTGTCAAGCAGAAGCAGGAAGAGGTATGAGGTGGACTTATTCTGAACATTAATGAACTTTAGTCGTTTACAAGTTGCTAATTCCTGTTGTCTTTTCACAGAGCGGCAAAACGAGTCCTGAAAAAGAAAGCGCCGAAAGATGCCGCTCAGGAAAAACCAAAGAAAGGTAAGCACACCAGTCTCTGTGAACGTGAGGTTTTCTCTAGAAAATAACAAGTTAAAGGGGACCTATCATGCAAAATGCACTTTCTGATCTCTTTTATACATAAACATGTGTCCCCGGTGTGTCAGGGAACTCACGCAGCGTCAGAAAATAAAACCCTCTCTCTTTTCCTCCGTACCCAAATCTCTAAAAACGGGGCTACAACGGAGCTGATCCAGATTTGCGTCCGATATGACGTCATATCTGAAATGTGGACCCACGGCCCTATCACAAACGTTGCTATCAGAAACAATGCCCGACTGTTTTGGACGTAATATGGTCGGTGTTTACGTTAGCATCGCTAACACTCAGAGCTAACCTGTACTGGAGAGCATGTGTGTGAAGAAGCAGGAAATAAAAAGGAACTCACCTTGTGGTATAACCGGCAAGAGAGAAAGCCTTTGAGCTCCATACTGTTTCAGAAATAATCCTTGATAATCCATGATATGGCGTTTCATCACGGCAGTATTTAGTTTAAACGGTAGCTGCCGGGTCCCGCAAGAGCTCAGACCCCTCCTTTTTTTATTTTTTTAGCAATTCTTTTTATTTTTAAAGCTTTATACCCAAAATCAGCACTTTTGATACAGGAAGTGAAATAGAGGGATATGAGGCATGGCTAGAATGGGTGATCTGTTTGGTATTTTGAGCAAAACACTTCATAGACATGTTTTTTATATATTTTTATATATCTGAGACCTATGCTATTGCCTAAAAATAGCATGATAGGTCCACTTTAAATGAGTGTGACTTGAACTAGTGTTGCTAAAGTGATTATATCACAGCACATATCCACGGTGTTTATCGTCCGTTACCTTTTCCCTGAAGGATTCACTGATGAGAACAGTGAATGGTTGACACCAGCTAAGAGGAAGCGCAAACTGGAAGAAGCTGAAAGTGGGGACGACAGCGATGAACACTGGGAGAACGAGGAAGATCTGGAGATGGAGGATGAGGAGGAGACAAAGAAAGGAATAAAAGAACAAGGAAAGAAGAAGAAGACTGCCAAAGTAGAAATCAAAGAAGGAGAAGAAAAGGAGGATGATGATGATGACGATGATGAAATGGTTGATGACTACGGAGCACCTGATGGCAGTGGAGAGGAGGAAGCAGAAAGTGATGGAGAGGTATGTGATGTAGTTCTGCCACATATTTTTCTTTCTTTATGACTGAAAATTGGGATGTCATTTCTAAATAAATATCCAAATGTTATCATCCAGATTGCAGATACAATCCCTGATTTTACTTCACTGTTAATGTATTAAAATAAAGCTCCTGGTTGTTGTGGAGTGTATTAAAGTGTTCGATGGTACATTAAAGATAGTATGAATGACCTTGTTTTGTTTACTTTTAGCTCCTTCCCATCGAGCGCGCAGCAAAGAAAGCACAACAGCTGAAGGAAGCCTTGGATCTGGATAGTGATGACGATAGTGACAGTGATGAAGATGATGCTAAAAAGAAAAAGAAATCCGATTCTGATGAGGAGGAAGACACAGTGCAAGCCAACATGGATGAGATGGACGCATTCAAGCTCCCCGGGGCAGAGGAGAGTGCGAAAGAAGGTGAGCGGCTTTCCAAAATAGTGTTTCTTTCACATCAAATTTGGTTATGCAAGAAGTTAGGGCTGTGCAATTAATCGTATTTTAATCTCGATTACGATTTTGGCTTGCAACGATTACGAAAACAACGTAATCAAAATAAAACGATTATTGTTTTTATTAAAAAAAAAAAAAATGTAATTATTATTATTTTTAATATATTTTTTTATTGGTTTTTCAGTTTAATTATACTTTAAGTTCAGGGTAATCAACTGTTAAAAACATACTGTTCTAATTTTATTTTTCAATAAATGGATGTTTTCAAAGTAAATGGATAATTGTTTTTAATAATCGTGATATCAATTATTGACCAAAATAATCGTGATTATGATTTTTGCCATAATCGCACAGCCCTACAAGAAGTCTAAATCTTGTCTGTTTTTTTAAGGCATCCTGCCTCTGGACCTGAAGAGCATCCATCAGAGGATAAAGGACAACATCGAAGTGCTCTGTAACTTCACAAAGCAGAGAGAAGAGGGGAAAGAGAGGGCCGAGTACCTCTCTCTCCTGAAGAAGGATCTGTGTACTTACTACAGCTACAACCACTTCCTCCTCGAGAAGTTAATGGACATCTTCCCCCTTTCAGAGGTGGCTCATTGTTCCCACTCATGTTGTACCAAAAAGAGCACATTGTGATGTTTGCATCATGATTATAACAGAATAATGTACACAATTACAAGACTTTGCATATGTTTTGAGTTCTGTAAAAAATGCGAATACACTGATTTTTTAAATTTTTATTTATCAATCTGTTTTTCCTTTCTCGCTCACAGCTGGTTGATTTCCTCGAGGCGAATGAAATCCACAGACCTGTCACTATCCGCACCAACACACTGAAGACCAGGAGGAGGGATCTGGCCCAGGTTAGTGCTCCGAGTGGGAGAGAGGGAATAAACAGCTAGTTTCTTGCAATTTAACTTATTAAAAAGCATGAATAAAGTAGTAATTTATTTATTTTGTACACGATTTAACTGCATTATATGTCAAGAAATGTAACATAACAATACAACTTAAAAAAATGCAGTTAGCAGAACCAACAATGTGACATTTCAGAGAAAAGTCAAAGACTTCACTTTTATTGTCTAGTCTCAAATGCTGCCTTCAAGTGCTCATGTTTAACATAACTTTTTCGTGTTTAGGCCCTGATCAACAGAGGAGTGAACCTTGACCCTTTGGGCAAATGGTCTAAAGTGGGTTTGGTCATCTACGACTCCTCGGTACCCGTCGGTAAGTCTCAGCATCAACAATCTGACTTTATTGATTTGTATCTTTGAGTGGAGGATATCTGAGTTTACCTTTTCCCAAACCAGCTTTAACTGTGACTCTTCCTGTGTTTTATAAAAGGTGCGACCCCGGAGTATCTGTCCGGTCAGTACATGCTGCAAGGAGCCTCCAGCTTCCTGCCCGTCATGGCGCTCTCTCCTCAGGAGGGGGAGTTAGTGCTTGACATGAGCTCAGCCCCAGGAGGGAAGACCACTTATATCGGTAAGATGTGCTGACATTTAAATACAAACTTATGAAACTGTATAATGTTGACTAGAGATGATTATTCTCATTATAGATTCATCGACTGATCTGTTTCTGTTGATTTTTAGAATATCTAAAAGTGGTGTGAAATGTGCATTATAGTTTGCCATAGCCCAACATGTCATTTCAAATCCTTATTTAATCCAACCAGCAGTCCTAAATCCAAGAATATTTAGTTTACAATCATGCATGAAGAAGAAAAGCAAAACAATGATTATATTTGAGCTGATATCAATGATTACTTGGTGCACTTGCTGAAAGTAAAAGCTGAAACAACTGTTGAATGTCACACTAGTGGACTCAGCTGTAATGTAGAGCAATGCAAATTAAGGCAAATGACAGTTTTACTCGCATGCAAGTTAACAGTTTTTAACGATATATGTGAATGTTCCCCCCCTCAGCTCAGCTGATGAGAAACACGGGGACGATCGTGGCGAATGACGCCAACGCTGACAGACTGAAGAGTGTGGTGGGGAACATCCACCGTCTGGGCGTCACCAACACGGTGGTCTGCAACTACGATGGGAGGCAGTTCCCAAAGGTAACGTTAATACAGCGTTAACGTTTCAGATTTGTACAGACGGTGCATGTTTTGTCTCTGTCCGATTCGGTCATATGTCAAAAATATTTGTGAATGTTTTTTTTCTGAGGAGTGCTTTCTCCCAGAAATCAAATATTAAATTGTAAAAAAAACGGTAGGGTTTTCTCAGCTTTCGATTTGTGAATAAAGTCATCAGCCAATCATGTTTAGAGGATTATATAAAACCCCTGGACATATACGCTGCATAAATGTTTACCAGAGAGAACTCAAACTCAGCCAGAGCATTTTGTTATAAAAAAACTCGTTAAAATAGTTTAGAGTATTCAGTGCAATTACATTTGATTTATTGAACAAGTGTTGGAACTACATTTTCATGTTTATTCGTCATGCCCCCCCCCATGTGTAGAGGCCTTGATACTACAGTTTTCGGCAGTATTCTGACTTACTGATTTCATTTGTTTCCTGCAGGTGATGGGTGGATTTGACCGAGTGCTGCTCGATGCTCCCTGCTCAGGCACCGGAGTCATCGCTAAAGATCCGGCTGTGAAGACCAGCAAGGTAAAACAACATTCACTGTTCACACATACGGTCATACAGATCCTTACTGTAGGTTTTAAATAGTGTTTAATACTTGTTCCCACCCTGTTATTCCCTGACAGGATGAAGGTGACATCCAGCGCTCTGCTCACCTACAGAAGGAACTGCTTCTGTCCGCCATCGACTCCGTCAACGCTGAGTCCTCTACGGGAGGATATGTAGTCTACTGCACTTGCTCCATTATGGTATGTGTTCTGCGTTAAGGGGTTGCAATGGTGAAAGATCTTCCTTTTTAAACTTCCACACATTCCCTTTGTTAGCTTCCCTATATTTATGTATGAGATCAGATGAGATTTCTCCGTCTAGATGCATTTTTCCTTAAATAAACATGTGTAGTTGTATCACCTTTATTTTTCTGTTGCACAAGTATACCACTGCAATCCTACTGTATATGCAGCTATACATTTTGTGTGAGTTTTTAGCAGAATCATTTGGATACTGATCAAAATGTCTTCTCCCAGGTGGAGGAGAATGAATGGGTGGTGGACTACGCTTTAAAGAAAAGGAACGTCAAATTAGTTCCCTGCGGACTTGACTTTGGCAAGGAAGGCTTCACCAGGTAAAGGAGATAACCAATGAGTTGAGTTATTGAAGGCAAATACTCTCAAAATCTCTAACCCTTACTTTGTTTTTTCAGGTTTAAGGAACGTAGATTCCATCCAACTCTGAAACTGTCTCGCCGATTTTACCCTCATACCCACAACATGGATGGGTTTTTTGTGGCAAAGTTTAAGAAATTCTCCAATGTAGTTCCAATTATACCAGTAGTAAAAGGTAACGCTTTATCCAACTATCACATGCCAACTTTAACCATGTTAGTTAACCTGTTTAACATATACTCATCCTGTGTTGTTTTGTAGAAGAAGAGGAAACTGGAGAGGCTCCTGAGGCAACAGTGGTCACAGAATCTCCTGAAAATAAACCCGCCAAAGGTGACAAGAAAAAGAAGATCGTCCCCGGAAAGGCAGTCGGCTTGAAGGGAAAACCCCAAACCAACGGGACAGCGACCAAGAAAAAGACGATCGTCCCCGGAAAGGCAGGCGGCTTGAAGGGAAAACCCCAAACCAACGGAATGGCAGCCAAGGCAAGGCAGGCAATCGTGAAGCCAAAAGGCAAAAAGGACTCACCTGCGGGACCAACAAAGGCAAAGAAAGCCAAGATGGATGGAGAGACTGTGAAAGGGGCCATGGCCAAGAAACCTGCAGCGAAAACAGCTGATGAATCGAAAGCATCAACGGCTGACAAACAGAAGAAATCACCCATGAAGGAGAAGAAAAGGATGGGAAAGAATAAATTCAGAAAGCTACAAAGCCTGTTGAAAAATGAAATAGAGTGATGCTGTGTACAGCGGGGTGAATTTATCTAGATTATGTAGGAGCTTTCTAGAGCTACTTAACGGACCCAGATTTCTTCAGATAAACGGTGTTTTATTACAGTGTTACTGTATGTTTCAGTCGGATATTATTTGTAATACCTGTGTACAAATGGATTCGACTAGTTGGCGTAAATTGGGTCCTCCCTTTTTATTGTATTCAAGAATATTCATTATGTTTGTCTGTTGATTTAATTGCAGGGTGGGATTACTTCCATAAATCTGTGAAACAATAAATCTTTTAAGATATCTTTCTCATCACTTGTTTGATTTGTCTTCCTTTTAATGTTTACGCCAACATTATCAAGCCAGCTATAAATAAACCCTTTTCAAATTGTAGCTTTCACTCCTTTTTCTTTGGTTACATATAAGACATTTACCTTACTAATTACTAACTAATGTTTTATTATTAGTATAGTTTCATATCTCTACCAAATAAATGAATGTCCAAATGTCTTTCTCTCATTGAAATTATGACTGACAATATATCTTGAATTTGAGTTCTGACTGACCATCATTTAAAAAATAAACATTTGTCTAATTTCAGATATTGAAAATTAACAAATCTACACAATTCAAGTGTGTATAAGTCTTATTGTAACATGTTGAATATTAAGTCCTAAGTGATCATAATTAAATTGCAGAAATATTCCTAAACTTAAACTTGCAAACTACCAGCTTGTGTTAAAGACATTTGGTTATATATAAAATACATTCAAATTAAATTACCACTTGGGATATGAATGTGTGCTGGAACACCACTACTCTTGCGAGTGTGGAATCAACCAATCAGATAGCTCCATTCCGGACCGGAAGCTGTGTTGTTTACATTTTCTAAGATGGCGGCGGGGATGTATTTGGAGCATTATTTGGACAGTAAGCTGTTTTTTTAACCGTTTAACACATTAAAAAAATTCATCCCACTTATCTAATTTCATACTTTGTATTTCGCTGAGCAATGAAGCCTCGAAACAACCCGTGTGGGGAACGGAAACATGTAACCGTTTCCCCAACGGTCAGCGGGTTTGGGCTCTGACTATTTCCTGGAATAGCGAATCTCCCAGTAGCAGATACATGATGCTATATGAGATTACATTGTGTTAATTTGACTGACCTAGTTTAGATGAATTAAACAAGTAAAAGATAATTGTATTTGTGTGTCTTGTTGTTATTTGCATAAATTGTGAATGCTGATTTTAAGCGCTAATATGTTAGCCTAGTGCATCACGTGATTAAGCTAGCTTCTACACGTCAACGTTTCCTTTTCAGAACCGCTATTAATCCGTAATCAATGTAGTGTTTTGTATATTTTAAATGTGTTTTAATTATGGGTTGTTTAAACCCGAGCATCACGTAATTATGCCAGCCGTTCTGCATTAACGTTTCCTTTTCAGAACCGCTTTTAATCTGTTATAATGATGAGTTTTATATATTTTATGTGTTGTTTTGATTATATTTTAATGTTTTTTTTAACTCTGTGAAGTGCCTTGGAGTTTCTTGAAAGCGCTCTATAATTAAAATGCATTATTGTTATTATTGCACTGTTTCATGTTGATCTGGCTGAAGGCGGGATTATACTGACTGTTGTCTCCCTTCTCAACAACAGGCATAGAAAACTTGCCCTTTGAGCTGCAGAGAAACTTCAATTTGATGAGAGATCTAGATCAACGCACAGAGGGTGAGAGAAATGAACTCTGTATTTTCTGTGGATCCTAACCCTGCAATTGTGTGAAAAAGCTTGTTCTCTGTACTTGTAAAAGCCCACTTTCATGTCTCCTCTTTTAAAACAACCTCATATTTGCATCTATGCAAGGGATCCCTAATCAAATCTGAGGGGTCACAAGATGAAAACGAGGTTAAGAAAGTAGAGAATCAATTACTTCTTCTACTAATGTTTGCCTTTTTGTGGGAAATACTCAATATTTGGACCCTAAGGGAGTCATAGGCCAAACATTGTTGAAGCCATTGATTACATTATTACATTACATTGCATTTAGCTGACGCTTTTATCCAAAGCGACTTACAATAAGTGCATTCAACCAACAAGATACAAAGTTGAAGAAAACGGAATCATATAAGTACATCAGGTTTCATAGAGCTAAAACATTTCAAGTGCTACTCAACTGGCTTTAGATAAGCCAGTCCTTTATTAGTATATAAGTGCTTTGTTAGTAATTCTTTGTTAGTAATTCTATCACTCGAAGTGGAGTCGAGCGATAGAACTTACTTGATCCACAGTAGAATACTAGTATTGTGGTTATGAATATATTTATAAAGAGCTATGCACAGTTGTTTTCATTTCAGCTTTACTTTAGTTAATTACTCTGTGCATATTTATTCCCATATTTATGTTAATGGTAATTGTATGTAGTGCCACTACAACACAGCAAATGTGCTATATCGTGCTATATTGTTTATTCTTACTGTTTGTGCAAATGCACCATCAGGATTGCCTCTTAATTTCTTTAGAAATGTTGCTTTAACAATAACAAATATTCTAATAATTGACGTTTGTCAATTCAGTGTAATAGTTTGTGAATTATATGTTTTAATATTCTGGGAGTTCCTGTATCACTAAAATTAAGTAGTGCAATTATTTCTGTATATTCGAGAAGTAGGTTTATTTCCTTTTATGTATTTGTTTGAGTAACATTGACCAAACAGTTAAGAGTTGTATAAGAAGTTTAACTTAACTTAGCTCTACTTGTCTCTCTCTCTCTCAGATCTAAAGGGACAGATAGACTCTCTGGCTAAAGAATACACAGCCAACGCCCGGACGCTGTCCTCTGAACAGAAGCTGTCCATACTGAGGCAGATTCAGCAGTCTTACAGTAAATGCAAAGAGTTTGGAGATGATAAGGTGCAACTGGCCATGCAGACCTATGAAATGGTTAGTATCTTTAAAATAAACTGTGTTCTTATATACATCTCTAGGTAATATAAGTGGGGAAACAATGTCGTCATAATCATAATAAATCTGTTGTATTTTCTGCAGGTCGACAAACACATCAGACGTCTGGACACAGACCTGGCTCGGTTTGAAGCTGACTTGAAGGAAAAGCAGATAGAGAGCACGGACTATGATTCCACCTCGAGCAAGGGCAAGAAAAGTGTGTTTCCATTTCATTTGCTTAATATCTATTTGCCTTGCACAGAGCACTGTCAGGGAGTCCAAATCCAAGCTTTATGATATCATTCAAGTTTCAAAGGTTTTATTGTCATATGCACATAAGCTACAGTGTATAAATGGCAATGAAAATCTTATGACCCAAGCTCCTCCAACGATGCAATATATAATAAAGTGCTTGTGTGATTCCAGTTGAAACCAGACTGAAGGAAAAGAAGACGGCCAAGACCAGATCTAAAGTGAAGAGCTCGGATGAAGATGGCAGCCCCAAGAGTGCACAGAAGAAAGTCAAACTCCTTCAGCCGTACGTTGTGTAGCTTCATTCCTGCTGTCTTGACTTCTCAGATTCAAAGTAACACATTTTTAGTTCGTTAAATGATCATTCTCACATTTAATTATTATCTCTCAATCATCAGAGGAGAATTCAACAGCCCTGCCACTAACTTTGGGAACGTGCACCCTTCTGATGTGCTGGACATGCCGGTGGACCCCAACGAGCCCACCTACTGTCTGTGTCATCAGGTCTCCTACGGCGAGATGATCGGCTGCGACAACACTGATGTGAGTTTGGTTTCTCAGCCCCGTCAGTCTCAGTCCAGGGCCATGAAGTACCCTTTGGATGTTCATTTACCAACTTATTTTATATATTTCGCCATTATTCAGGGTTAATACTTGGAAGAATGTTGTTTGAGAATATTAAATTAGGCGGGAAAAAGGCTACAAAAGGTCGCTTGCATTGCTCTTTACTTTATTTATTTACGTTTTTGTCGATAAATAATGCTTTGCATCAAAAGAAATATGTGTGTATAATTGGTCCTCTGATAGTGGAGACTTTTGCTAGTGACATTAAGAACTGAAAATGTACAAAAGAGGAAAAGGAACAATGATAAGAAACTGGGATGAATTAAATTAATTGGCTCACAATAGATTTTTCGTTTCAAATACAAGTACAACATTGTTGCATAGAGAGGCGAAGTCCCGCCCATCTACTTCCGACCCATGGGACCTTATTTCGGAAAAAGTATGTATTGAAGTCAATGGGGAGAGAAAGATTATCTTTCGATCCCGTTTGAATTGTGCCACAAATTACACATATGATGTTTGTCAATCTTAAATAATAATTTCCATGTCAAAAAAGTCACAGTTTGTCGTAAAACTGTTGAAGTATAAGACTATGAAAAATACGCAACTAGAAAGACTACAAATCCCAGAGTCCCGGTCCCGCATGCTGGCTCTTACGAACCGACTAACTCCCCTTGTGTGTATGTACAGCTCTCAACAGGCCCAGACTTGGAGTGATTTTCACCTCTTTTAATACTTTTCGCCTCATTCTGAAAGAATGAAGTGAAATGTGCCAACGTGACGGCCGTCTTGGTGTGTGGTGCGAGACGGGAGATGTAGGTCATTGAGTGGTTTCACACAAAAAAAAGTGTTACTTCAAAGTTTTACGACACATTTTTATTTTTTTGACTTTCAAAATTATCTTTTAAATTGACAAACATCATGTGTGTAATTCGTGGCACAATTCAAACGGGATCGAGAGATAATCTTTCTCTCTCCATTGACTTCAATACATACTTTTTCCTAAATAAGGTCCCATGGAGGTCCCCCGGAAAGGGAGGGACTTTGCCTCTCTATAGACTATTTTAAACATTCATAATAGAAATATCCATAGGCAAAATAATGACTTGTTACAGAAAAGATTAAAGTTAGAATTTCTGAAAACATTTGTGCTAAATTTCCTTTTTGGGACAATTCCCGTATAAAAACAATGCATGTACCCTCGTTGTGTCTGGACTAAGTGCCCCATTTGCATGAAAACTTAACAGCACATTTTCTTTTTGTCTCCTCTCTAGTGCTCCATTGAGTGGTTCCATTTTGCATGCGTGGGCCTGACAACCAAACCCAGAGGCAAATGGTAAGAAACTCTGTTGACTGTCCCCAGGTCCAATGTGAACAATGGGAGTGTGAATTGGAGTGTGAATTGGAGTGTGAATTGGTAATCAATTATTCAAGTCACCTACATGTGTTTCATCTCTCCTCTGTGCAGGTATTGTCCACGATGCTCTCAAGACAGAAAGAGAAAATAAGAACTGGAACAAAACGTGGACACTGATCATTGAAGATGAGAAGAATATTTCTTCATTAGTTACTACAGTAGAGTTTTTGTTTCTCATATTCCTTAACGTTTGGTGCTTTTTCTTTCCGTTTACGTAATTTGCCTTGGTCTGATGCAGTGCGTGTGAAGGAGCCAAGTGGTTACAAGTGTATTTAAATATTGATTTTTTTTTTTTAACCGGTTAACCATATTTTTTGCTTTTTTTGTTACCTTTGGTGCTCTTATTTTATTCCTTTTTTTACATTTTGTTTGACTTGATTGAATTATAAACACTACGACTGCCCCTAATGGTTTAACATTTACAAGTTGTCAAAAACACTTTATATTATAGTCACATGTATGATTACAAAATGTAAGTATTATCTCTGAAAACAGTTAGACCATGGATACTTTATTTTGCTTTGTTGTATAGTTAGTTCTTTGTGCTTAGCATTGGAACACTAGTTTTATGTTTTAAGTAAAACAAGAGGGCAAAAGAACATGAAGACGAACGCTGCACCCTGAGAGTATTAGTAATCAGTGGGTAGTGACTTCAACTATTTCATTTTAACATTTGACTGAGTGCTGTATAGAAAGTAAGACATTTTGTGAAAAAACTATTGTCATTTCTGTAGCTGAAACATTGGTACAGTGGAGAGGGGGTGATTGTTGTCAATCATTTGAATACAGCTACTACCTCAAAAAACGTGCCTTTGTGGTCCTTTGTGTCCTGTGTGTGTTTGCAACAGATCGTCGGTCCTACAAGCTCTGAATTTTAAATGTGGTGTTCTGTGTTTTCATATTGTTTTATCTCCACCAAACTTTTAGAAGAATATGATTAAAGCCAAGTCGGTTATTTATGTGTAAGGAATATGCCTACATAAAACTACAGTACTAGTAGGACAGGAGCCAATGACTTAAATTATGAATAGAACGATATATAAAAAAGTATAAAATATATATCAACATTTGTAATTCATTATTTTTTTGTAAATACCAAAAAAATACATTTACGGTCAAGCACAAGTAAGTACACAATAAACCTAACGTTTAAATTGCACAAAATACATGAATGGAAATGAGGAAATAAAGGATACAACTGATAAGAGAGACACATTCAAATAATACAGACATCATTTGTGATCTCATATGAGGAAAGAAAACAGCAATTGAAGTGACTTTAACTACATTTCCTCCTGTTTTTCGCAAGAGCAAGAGAGTTAAGAATTCAATTAAATACAAATAATTTAAAAAAAAGCCTGTGAGTCTTTAAACCTCGGTTAAAAAAGTTACCCGTTAAAATAAAACAATGTGTGACTGATGCAGTGCTCACATCTGTCCAGTAGGTGGCAGTGCTGGGTAAAACGCCCCCCCGTTAACGTGTGACGTCAGAGCGTTTTGGCGCGAGGTCCAAAAGAAAGTTTGAAAAGCAGATTCAAACAGCCAGGAGCCGCGGACAGAGCAGCTGCACCTTCAGTCTCCAGAGGTCTTCATCGTGGATAAAAGGGCAACAGCCGCTAGAGGTGAGCATTATATTTCTAAGATAGTTCAACAGCGTTGTTAGGTAAGTGTAGCTTCAGTGGTTCTCGCTAAATAACAGCCGCCTAATGAAGCAAAACAGTTAGCAGCTAAAATTAGCTACCCTGCTAACTTTGCTAGCGCTAGCTGTTAGTGGGGCTAGCTTAATTCACAACAACACACCAATACGGATTAGAAAACATCGACAACATTCACTTTTCATAAATACATCATACGTCTTGTATCATTTGAAGGTTAGTGTTGAGTTGTGTGCTCCTTAGCTTACCAGTTAGCATTACGTACTGACTAAAACATATTTCTTAGTGATCGAAGCTGCTGTTACTTTCTATCAAACCTGTAGGAACGTAACGGTTAACATATCGTGGCGAGGAAAGGATTCAGTTTAAGCGGAGGTGGAAGAATTACTCGGATCCTATGCTAAAGTCTTTCAGTCACTTCAAGTAAAGACACGGCAATACTAATCTACACAGTATTGCCAGTATCTAAATATCTAAGTACTTCTTGAGGTTGAAGAAGTACAGCGGCCTGGGAATCACCGAGCACATGGATTACTGTTAAGAACTTAAACTGGATGTTAATAATCAAATAACGCAACTATGTAAGCTTGTTTAGTAAACTGTTTTTGTCTGCTTGACGCAGGGATGTCGTGGGACTTTTTTGTGCCCGTGTGTGTGGGTGACCTGGTGAAGTCTGGAGGCATCAACCAGTACGTCGTTCAGGATGTGGTGTCCCCAAAACATCTTCCATCCCATCTTCATAGTAAGTCCTGGATATGTTCTCGCCGAGACATTTTTATTTAGGCTGACTTAAGGTAATCGTGACTAAGGTTTTTGTCCACACAGAATTTAAGGCAGCACTGAGAAGCCAAGGACCTTTGTGTATATTGGAACACTTTGACACCGGATACAGCTTACTACAGTAAGTCCTTTTGAATATTTATAGCCTGCTGTAGTAATTGTTTTTAAGAGCCGAATGCCTACAAATCTACTGTCTTTCTTTTTAAAGGCACTGCAACTCAGTGGAGCTGGCTGTAAAAGAAGACGCTCTGGACATACTATTACAAGGTAAGACCTTTTTCATTTGCATACTTCCATATTGTACTATACACAAAAACATACACTCAACACAAACAATGTCTTGATTTCTTTCAGTGGTTAGTGGCCTTGCAACTTCCTTGCCAGCACTTCTCCTCTCCATCTCCGTCACAGCTGCAGAGCGCAAAGAGAAACTCAACGCTGTTAAAATGAGCGTCTACCTGCTCTGCAAACTCTCCGAGAACTTTGAGAGCGAGGCCTATCGACAGTGCATTATCACGGCACCTGGAAAGGTATGGTTATCAGAGACGCACCCTAACATGTTTTAAATGACAGTGAATTGTGGCTGTGTTTAACAGTTTGAATCGCCCGCGTGATGATATCATGGCAAGTTGATGACGCAGTCAAACCAAGAGATTGGGGTTTCTAGCCTGCTGATCGATGGGTAGTCTTGGTGTTGTGATGGAGTTTTATCACACTGCTGTAAGGCCCCACCCACAGTTAACCTGACACCTTCTACTACATCTGCCCCCCCAAGAGCAATGGGACAGGGCAGGTAGGAGATGTCAAACAATGTGTGTTTTTGTCTTTGTGTGAATGTATCAGCAGGCATGAGACCATACTCGGTTTGAAATATGAATTACAGTCTTTGGTAAACTGAGGGCAGGTGTTGTACGCTAACGGTTTGTGTGTAGGACTATTTGAGTGTCTAGGAAGTTAAACATGTGTTTTCTGTCTTCCACAGGGCGGTAAAAAGGGCAAAGGTGGCGGTGAAGGGCTGCAGCAGTGGGAATCTGAGAGAGAGAAAGTGCTGCAGGCTCTCGTGCAGCTCCTCCAGCTCGATATCCGCTCCCTCTGGAACCTCTCCCTGGTGGAGGAAGAGTTCATCAGGTACTTTTCAGATGGGGATCTCTGGGCAAAAGCACAATATCAGACTTGGTCCACTTGAATCAGTTAGTTGGTGTCATTTCCACATTTGTCATGCGGCTCTTTGCCCATAATTGCTAACATTTTAGCCCATATTCTTGTTTATTTGAGGAAAATTATCTTTGTCTTTCTATTATTATTATTATTTTGGCATCAAACTTATTAAGGGTAGGTGATATTGGAACTGTGTTTCTTCATAAATGTGTCCATGTGAACGGATACATAACGTTATGTTTAGAATTTCTTCTGTTTTTAAGTTAGGTTGTTCAGATGTTATCAAACAACGGCATGAATTAACATCTGATTCTCTGTTCTTTGGTTTTCTTAGCTGTGTGACATGCTGCTGCTACAAACTCCTTGAGAATCCAACCATCAGCCACGTCAAGAGCAAACCCACCAGAGATTGTATAATCCACCTGCTGGGGGTGCTAATCAAGAAGTACAACCACATCCTGGGTTAGTCTCTGTTTGTAATCTTGCCGACAGGTTCAGAATATGACAGAGGGAACATATCAACGGGAAAAAAACAACGTACAAAACCTCACGCTATTCACTGTTTGAGCATACGTTATACATTTTCATGTTTACTCTAAATGCTTTCAGGTGCAAGTGTGAAGGTGATCCAGTTGCTGCAACACTTTGAGCAGTTGTCCAGCGTGTTTGCTCAGGCAGTGTCTGTGTGGAGCACCGAATATGGAGTCAGGGGGATCATAGGAGAAATTATTAGGTCGGTACGCTATTTTTTTTTTTTTTTTTTTATGTTTCAAACAACTATTTTTTTTACGCAAATGTGATTCTGTGGCTGCAAATTACCGTGTTTAATTCTCCCGTCCCATTCCTTCAGGGAGATTGGTCAGAGGTCCAGTGAAGAGCTTGCCAGAGATTCCGGCGGGGTCAAAGCTTTTGCTTCCTTCATTGCTGAGCTCGGCACCCTTGTTCCTGAATTAATGATGCCCAACATCAGTGTTCTCATCACACACCTGGAGGGAGAGGTACTGCATACTTTAGAATGTTCATCCTGCTAACACAACATTACAAATGCACCACTATGAATTGGAAACTAGTATCCTGGGCACTATATTGTACTCATCAGTTGGTTGTTATTGGCTTGTGCTATTAAGTAAAAAGGCATGAGACAAAATATATTGACATTTTGCCCAGTGATGAGACCAAGGCGAATACGAGCGGACTGAATGAGAGCTGGGTTCCTCTTTGCCTCGACCGGCAGGTAATCTTGGCAGTGCAGAGAAACGTTCCTGCTCTGCTGTAAGGGCCTGCCTACAGTGACCCAGCTCAACCCAAATGATTCCTCTAAAGTCATAGAGTAATCAGTGTGTGTGTGTGTGTGTGTGTGTGTGGCAAGGAGGTCACCCAGCTCTCTCAGACCTTCAGTCAGCAGTGAGTTGCATCTTTGGTAATCTGAGGGCAGAGTTTAGGACACAAGTAATGTGTTTGCTTCAGTAGTTCTAACACAGAAGCTTATTATTGCTCTGGTTCAACTGTCAGAAGAACATGATTTAACGACTTCTTGTCTCCTTCACACTTGTGTTGCAGAGCCACACAATGCGTGTTGCCGTGTGTGAGCTTCTGGGGGAGATCTTGGTTCGGGTCCTGTGTGGCGACGGGCTCGACGACGCTGGTAAAGCTGACCGCGACCGCTTCTTCGACACAATGCAGGAACATCTTCATGACACGCATTCCCATGTCAGGGCGCGAGTGTTGCAGGTCTACACACGCATCGTCAACAGCAAAGTAAGTTCTCATCCACTTATAATCAGAATCATAATAACTTTATTCGTTCCACAGAGGGAAAATGTACATTGTTTGCAGCTAAAATACAGATAGAGACAACAAATAAACCACTTTAAGATAAAAAGGCATGCACAGTATGTTACAGGTTGCCACTAGAGCAGCGTCAGTTTACCCTAATGTGTGTGTGTAAATGCATAATGGTACTAAAGTCTACCCGTGGTAATACACTGTCTGTGTTTAGGCGCTGCCCCTGTTTAAGTACAGTGAGGTGATGGAGCTCGCTGTGGGGCGTTTGATGGACAAATCCATAAATGTGGTGAAGAGCGCCATCCAGCTGTTGGCCGCCTTCATCGCACACAACCCCTACAGCTGCAAGGTAACTAAAAGCAACAGAATTAAACCTAGAATAGCAGACTTGTTTTTAGATTTCTCTTTCATGCATGTTCTCATTTCTTTAGCTGAGCAGTGCCGATCTGAAGAAACCGCTTGAGAAGGAGGCAACTAAACTCAGAGAGCTGAGAGAGAAGCTGGAGGGAAAAGCACCAGGTGAGGATGAACCCGGTTTTAAAAATGCATTTATTTCCCCAAATGCTCGCTGACATTTTGCCCAGTGATGAGTCCAAGGCGAATACGAGCGGACTGAATGAGAGCTGGGTTCCTCTTTGCCTCGACTGGCAGGTAATCTTGGCAGTGCAGAGAAACGTTCCTGCTCTGCTGTAAGGGCCTGCCTACAGTGACCCAGCTCAACCCAAATGATTCCTCCAAAGTCACAGAGTAATCACAGGGAGGATGCTGACAGTGTGAGTGGTTGTTTGTCTGTGTGTGTGTGTAGGAGGCAAGGAGGTCACCCAGCTCTCTCAGACCTTCAGTTAGCAGTGAGTTGCTTTTTGGAAAATCTGAGGGCAAAATTCACGACCTCGGCAAACCAGGTCTAATGTTGCGGTCTCGTACAAACGGAAAATTGAACACATTTCTTTCATCTATATCCATTAGCTAGTAAATGGCATTGAGTTTGTTTATTTTTGTAGAGTGTAATATTTCTTTCTGTACGTTGTCCCGGTATCTCTAACCATCGTTTGAATGTTCCTCCCCCTCGCTGCAGTGGCAGTGATTAAAGCTTCTGAGCTGTGGGCCGCCATGGAGCCCGAGCTGCTCGTCACCGTCAGGACCGAGCTGGAGCCCACGAGCGAGGAGGAGGAGGATGATGAGGATGATGAGAAGGAGGCAGAGAAGGAGGCAGAGGATGACAGAGCAACTGCAGTCCAAGTTGCTCAGTACCTCCGTGTCAACAAATACAGGTGATGCTAAAAACCAATGTTGCCTTGATAAAAGTTGACTTAAATGGCGCTACCTGAAGGGTTTTTCCCCCTGTCCTTAAGCTATTTATTGTAAATGTCTTTTGTCTTCCCTTTCTGCAGAAATGCTGTGCGTCTCTGTATTAAAGCCCACAGCTGCTTCCCTGAATCTGAGATGTTTGCCTCTCTGTCCACTCTCACCACTGAGACACTAATGGACACGCTGGCTCTAATATTCAAAGGTAACGCTGCACTCTGCTAATGCACTTCTACCCAGAGTTGGTTATCAAAGTGCTCTCTCTTAATACTACCAAGATTGAAAACATTTAAGATTAATTTCTTTGCCTTTCCTCTTAATTGAACAAAATTCATTTCACATTATCTTTTGCTCTTGTCTTTTTAAAATGTAGCTTTTTATATTTCTTTCAATAGAGAATATAGTTAACCAGTTAAGCCCCATACCCCCGGTACGCTGTTTCTTGCGAGATGTTGTGTTTTGTCCCCAGTACCGCGGGCAAAACGCAACATCTTGCAAGAAACAGCGTCTGAGGGCTTCTTAACATTTAACAAACTATGAATGTGTCATACTCGCTTAACGGGAAGAAACTCAGCTATCAGACAATATTAACCATTTTTAGCTAAACGAAACTCAAGGGTAACAACAAAGGCTCTGAATTAGCCCCGAGCGAAAAAATGCCAACCCACTTAGCACAGAGATCACGGTAGAAATACCTTATTACTTATCGGATCTGAACAAACAATCATCACTGAGCGATCAAAACTCGTTGCAGGGGAAGCAAACCCAGACATCACACAATGTAGCTTTACGGAGGAAAAAACAGAAAATAAGTCTTACCGTTGCTGTTCTCTGATCAAAAGTTGTGTTCAGTGGCATTAAAACGCTGCTGACGGTTAATCCAATGTGTCTGTCACTTTGAAATGATTACTGATAATCCATCTTCATATTTATGTCAATAACGGAGATTTCATATTAGCTGCTACGAGAGTGTATGACAGCTTCCGCTTTTGGGCATTCTGGCTACGCATCACTCATTCACCAATGGGTTTTAGATGGATTTTTTAGGAACTTCCCCTCGATTCTATTGGCTCTAACGGTTAAAAAGAGATATCAATCATCAAAGTCGACCAAGGGGGGCCAGAGATCCAAATGACCCCAGAAGTGTTTTTTTCTCTAAACCTCTCTAAAAAGGTCAAATTTCACTTGTTTCGCATCAATCTTGATACAGGGTACTTATTATATGTTTATAGTTTAGATTCCTAAAGCTTTTAGTCTACTAACCCATCATTCAAGGCTGGTTTTCACTATAAGTAATGTTTATTTTTGGACGGACACTATAATTTACATTTTTTTTACTATGTTCAATCTGAATTTACTTTCAAATGAAAAAAATTCTATATTGATTCTGACTTTCCTACATCCAACTCACAGGTTTATCATTTTTGAGAAAAAAGATTATTAATTTACCCCTTTTTGGAAGTGAATATATAGTCATTTGTTCTGGGAATATCCTTTTCGAGCCTGAGACCTGAAAAACAGGCTCAGGGCTCAACAGGTTAAGAGCATAGGACACCGCCAGATACATACGTCACTTTAATACATGAACATAATAAGCAACTTCTTTCATATCAGATGACAAACATGCCGTTTCATATTTCAGCATTTTGTATTATATCTACTAATAAGAGGGTTAGTGGTTTGTTCCCAGATTTGAAAGATATTTATCCCGTAGGCTTGTTGCTACAACATGTGGATGTAAGTGATTTGGATTCAAACTAAATAACATAACTTGTGTCTGCTAATAACTGTTTTGACATACAGCAGATCAGGCTGAGATTACAAATGCAAACCCTGTATTTCTTATGAAAAAAAGACTAGTGTGCAATCAGAATTTGATAGCTTATGTCTTGGTATGCTGTTAATTGAAATGACTTATGTGAAAGCCTTACACACTAAACGCCTCGCAGACAAGAGGACAGAGTTAATTGAATTACTGTTCAGCAGCTGCAGGAAGTGCTGAGTGTTCGAGCGTCACATTTATATTCTCCCTGATGTTCTCCTCAGGCTCTGATGAGGACGCCTCTGAGCTCAGTCAGAATTTACCACCAACCCCTCAGAAGGAGGAGGGGGGGGAGGAGGGGGAGCTGAAGAAGCAGGAGATGTTGGTGCAGTACCTGAAAGACACGGAAACCTTCGCCCTACTGGTGGAGAGAGCGATAGCTGTCATCAACACCATGCTCTACTTGAAAACCACTTCAGGTACAAGGCAATATTCATCAACGGGCAAACTTAATTTTTCAGTAAAGAATCACATTTGACAGTTGTTTTTGTTATTGGCTTATGCTATTAAGTAAACACACATTAATCAGGCATGAGACAAAATATATTGACATTTTGCCCAGTGATGAGTCCAAGGCGAATACGAGCTGACTGAATGAGCGCTGGGTTCCTCTTTGCCTCGACTGGCAGGTAATCTTGGCAGTGCAGAGAAACGTTCCTGCTCTGCTGTAAGGGCCTGCCTACAGTGACCCAGCTCAACCCAAATGATTCCTCTAAAGTCACAGAGGAGTAATCACAGGGAGGATGCTGACAGTGTGAGTGGTTGTTTGTCTGTGTGTGGTGTGTGTGTAGGAGGCGAGGAGGTCACCCAGCTCTCTCAGACCTTCAGTCAGCAGTGAGTTGCATCTTTGGTAATCTGAGGGCAGAGTTTAGGACACAAAAGTAATGTCTTTATGTTGAAGTTGCTCAAATAGTTCTAACACAAAAGCTTATTCTTGCCCTGAAACTAAAATGTTCTTGTTCAACTGTCCGAAGAACAGGATTTAACGTGAAGGCAGAAGGCAAACTTAATTTTTTATTTTTCAGTAAAGAATCACATTTGACAGCTGTAGTTTCTGGTTTCAGTGGTCCTGGAGGCGGTGCAGTTTTGTGTGACTGTGTGCGAGTTCAGCGTGGCCAACTCAGTGAGTGGCGTGAGGAAGATGTTGCCTCTGGTCTGGTCCACGGACGCCGCCATTAAAGATGCTGTCGTTCAGGCCTACAAGCGCCTGTATCTGAACCCTCAGGGAGAAAACATCAGGTCTGTAAAGCTGCCTCGCACGGCCCTAACATTGACAATTGAATGTGATTCTAGCCGATTGTACATTTATTTTAATATAAATATGACTGTCTCTTAGAGGTGGGGTAGGTCATTTTGGAGAAACCAGCTCGAGTGCGCTAGAATTTGAAAATACACAACCGGAAAAAATCTGCCACTTCCTTACAGAGCCCCTCCTCCAACACACACGAACGCGCACATGACCAATGAGGGCACGAGATAAGTTTGTGCACAGATGGAAGGCTGACAGGCAGGTAGGCCATCCAGTTATTTTAGCCGGGCCGGCTAAAATGATTGGTCGTACTTTTTACAGTACTACGGCTTCCACAGATGACATTTTTAATGGATTTTTTGTCAAAGCACTTAAGATATTCATTGCTATCGGGATGTTAAGAGCATTCCATGGAATATAACAAAAAGTGTATCTCGAGCCGGTTTCTCAAACTTACCTACCCCACCTTTAAGGGTAGCAGCAATGGTTAACATTAGGAACCATGGCTAAAACAGAACATGCTATGAGATAACCAGAGTTTCTGTTAGAATTTATTTGCCGGTTAAATCTTCTGGACAAAATGAGAAAAGTGCCGGTCAAAGGTCTTCTTTGTTATTGATTGAGCTTTAAAACAAATTGATATGATTCGATATTAAACAAACTAATTATAGTAGATTAACTATTCAAAAGTGTACAGTAATTTATAACACGGGAATAATAAACTGAGCGCTCTCTCCTTCTCCTGACAGCCTGTCAGCATCATGCGGATCCAGTAATGAGTGACCAGACAGTAAAACTAAACGTATCTATAACTAGTTTAGGTAGTTTGAGAGGTAATTACAATAGCTACGTGTGATATTCTAACCTGAAGTGTGTGTTTTGTTCCGCTCACCGCTGCAGGTGATCATGCAGAGCTGCGTGTCGACTCGTCAGCAGCAGCTGATCTCTCTCTCCCGTCAGATTAGACTTCACTCGCGTTTATGTCCATATCGATCAGATCTAGCTAGTTCTAGCTAATGATATGACTACTTGCTTATTAAAAGACACCTAAACAATAAGCGTCGCTATGCAACCGGGTGAGGCCGCAAAGTATAGCGCAGCATTATGCATTTGTTTACATGCCCACCGGAACCCCGAGGCATTACCAACAGATCAACGCACAATCAACCCATACAGGACATCTCTTTCTCCACATTAAGTGTAGACATTATAATTGACTATTCTTGTCTGTCACATACTCTTCTTGTCTGTCACATACTCTTTTGTCTGTCACATACTCTTTTGTCTGTCACATACTCTTCTTGTCTGTCACATACTCTTTTGTCTGTCACATACTCCTCTTGTCTGTCACATACTCCTCTTGTCTGTCACATACTCCTCTTGTCTGTCACATACTCCTCTTGTCTGTCACATACTCCTCTTGTCTGTCACATACTCTTCTTGTCTGTCACATACTCCTCTTGTCTGTCACATACTCTTCTTTGTCACATACTCTTCTTGTCTGTCACATACTCTTGTCTGTCACATAAGTGGCGCAACTGATGCGGTATTGCGCTAAGGGGAAATTATTTTGACCGGACATTTTGACCGAAGAGATTTGGATTTGCCGGTCTTCAGCATATTTTACCGGTCATAGTCCGGTAATTACCGGCTAACGGAAACTCTGGACATAACCTCAATATGTAGTATGGTGCATTTTGTGTACATGCTCAAAATGTCAAATACTGTAATGCAGGCAACCTAAAACACTTAAATAGATTTGTTTAGCGCTGTCTTATTAAAGTAACGGTCTTGTTTCATCAGGGTGAAAGCCCACACTCTGGTTGACAGCCTCTCTGAGCTGATGGTCGATGCTTCTCTGGGAACAATCCAGTGTCTGGAGGAAATAGTGAGTTCAGCTTTTGTTATTTTTATATCTGGTATTTCTTTCTAGGAAGCTCAATTATTCAAAACAAACAATGCGAGACATCTTTTGTACTAGCGATAAACTCTGGAGTAATGTAATTGGCTTGTGCTATTAAGTAAACGGGCATGAGACAAAAGAGAAAACGTTTTCCAATACACGCTCTCTTCAATAGAGTAGAATCTTTTCTTCTCAAAGCAATGATAAACCTGTGAGTTGGATGTAGACAAGTCAGAATCAATATAGATTTTTTTTATTTGAAAGTAAATTCAGATTGAACATAGTAAAATAAAAATGTAAATGATACATTACTTATAGTGAAAACCACCCTTGAATGATGGGATAGTAGACTAAAAGCTTTAGGAATCCAAACTATAACATAATAAGTACCCTGTATCAAGATTGATGCAAAACAAGTGACATTTGGCCTTTTTAGAAGTTTAGAAGAAAAAAAACACTTCTGGGGTCATTTGGGTGGATTTTCCATATCTATAGAACCCATCGGTCGATTTTGATCATTGACATCTCTCTTGAACCGTCAGAGCCAATAGAATCGAGGGGAAGTTCCTAAAAATCCATCTAAACATTACCCATTGGTGAATGAGTGATGCGCAGCCAGAATGCCCAAAACCGGAAGCTGTCATACACTCTCGTAGCTCTCATAACAGCTATGTATGAAAACTCCGTTATTGACATAAATATAACGATGGATTATCAGTAATCATTTCAGACACATTGGATTAACCTTCAGCAGCATTTTTATCATTTTAAAAGGAGCAAAAAAGCATGTCACTGCTCAAGGTTTTGATTATACTGCCACAGTGCATCAACTCTAATTGATGAGTAATCTTATTTATGCAGCCGAAACCCACCAAATCTGTAATCCTTCAGAGAAATGTCCCGTTGCATCCAACCAAAGGTACATTTCTTCCTCTCCGGTTGACATTTTGCCCAGTGATGAGACCAAGGCGAATACGAGCTGACTGAATGAGAGCTGGGTTCCTCTTTGCCTCGACTGGCAGGTAATCTTGGCAGTGCAGAGAAACGTTCCTGCTCTGCTGTAAGGGCCTGCCTACAGTGACCCAGCTCAACCCAAATGATTCCTCTAAAGTCACAGAGTAATCACAGGGAGGATGCTGACAGTGAGAGTGGTTGTTTGTCTGTGTGTGGTGTGTGTGTGTAGGAGGCAAGGAGGTCACCCAGCTCTCTCAGACCTTCAGTCAGCAGTGAGTTGCATCTTTGGTAATCTGAGGGCAGAGTTTAGGACACAAAAGTAATGCTCAAACACAAAAGCTTATTCTTGCCCTGAATCTAATATGTTACTGTTCAACTGTCCGAAGAACATGATTTAATGTGGACCTATTGTCTACTGCTCAACTAGTTGGAAGACAAAAGCTTATTCTTGCCCTGAAGGAAATAGTGAGTTATAGGTGTTATTTCTTTCTAGGATGCTCAATTAAAAACAAACAAAGCGAGACATCGTACTAGCGATAAACTCTAGAGTTGTTATGTGTGTGCGTATTAGGGCTGCACGATTTGGGGAAATAATCTAATTGCGATTTTTCTGACAGATATTGCGATTCGATTTGCGATATTTGTTTTTAAGCGACCCAACGGAAGTTTATTGTAAAATGCGGCCATATCTCCGGCTAGGAAGGTCGTATCAACGTGCTCCCGTCTCTAGCGCCCCCGCAGCCCGAGCTATGAGTGAAAGAACTAAACTTACATGAAACTTCCATTGGGTTGCTTTAAAGTCAAGCTTCAGTTTAAGATTCACCCTGTCATAGAAACATGTGATGGAGCATTACTAACCTGACTCGGATGCTTTGTTTCACCAAACCAGCTAGGAAAGCTCCATTGGAAGTATTTCAAAAATACTTGGCAGGTGATTGGATCAATCTGTCTTATCACCTACTATCATGGGCCACTTCTGATTGGTTAATTGGTACATTTGGAGCACATCACTTCTGATTGGTGTGGATGACTGACACACATCATTTCAAATCGATTAATCGTTCAGCCCTAGTATGTATGTATGGCTTCTAGGGCTTTTAACAAATAATGTTTTTTATTTAAAAGCTTTTGTTGACGTTTTTGAATACAGCTTTAAATGTGTTTCATCATGACTCACCCCCCATATAAAAGAGGTAGTGAAAATATCTATGAAGTTCTAAAAATGTATTTTACGGTATTGCCAGACGGTCCCGTTAAAACAAGTGCATTCTTTCCCGTTTGTGCCTCAAGTGGGTGAGCAAACCTTTCATTGAAACGCCAAGAAATGTGTTTTAAAGCTGAATATTTGATTAAATAAAGACATGTTATACATTTTGGAAATTATTCTATCTATATTTTTTCAATAATTGTTGATTTTTGGACATTTTCAATATCTCCAGAGCGATGTATAATCAAAATCACCAACTCTCCTATTCAGCAACTCCTTGAATCTAACTCTACATGTGGTATAACTTGTATTCTTTCGTGTCATCGGCAACCTTGCCGAAATATAGGGTTCAAACACGATGCATGCAATGAAACGGCTCAATGTCCATTGTATGTTGGATTTTATGTATCTTATAATAAAACATGATGATTTGTCACCATCCTCACACTTTTCTGGCGGCTTCTTCAGGTGCAGGAGTTCTTTGGCAGTGGCAGCCTTCTCCAGTCCACAGTGGTGCAGGTGTTGTGGGAGAGGTTCACCGGCAAACGAGA